CAGTGGCTACATTCAGATGTCACTGTAAACCAGGACCAGTGCTGCAGCTTTCATTGCTATAGTAAAGGTAAAGTTTTCTCTTGTTCGAAAGTCAGTCGAATCTGACTCTAGGGATGCGGTGCTCATCTCCGTTTCCAAGCCGAAGAGCCAGCGCTGTCCAAAGACATTTTCTGTGGTCATGTGGCTGGCATGACTAGATGCCGAGGCGCGCGGAACGCTGTTACCTTCCCACCGAAGTGGTACCTATTTATCTACTTGCAATTTCTTGCTTTCAAACTGCTAGGTTGGCAGGAGCTGGGACCAGAGACGGGTGCTCACTCTGTCATGCGGCATACTCAGGTCTCGAACTGTCAAGCTACCGACCTTCCGGTCTGCAGTTCAGCATCTTAACCACTTGAGCCACTGCAGCCCTTTCATTGGTCTACCAAATAATACATCCCAGCTTGTCTGCCCCTTCCCCCTGGTTCTTTTAACCTGCCTTCAGGAAGTCATCTTCCCTTTACTATGGTGTGTGCTGTCAGGTGGCCAGAAGGAGTGGTACTGCTCAACACCTTGCAGAGTGTGAATCTGGACATCACCAGATGGAATTCACTGCCACAGGAGGTGGCGGCGGCTATAAGCATGGACGGCTTCAAGAGAGAATTGGATAAACATATCCATCAGTGTTTATCCATCAGCAGAGGTCCATCAGTGGCTCTTAGCCACAAGGTATAGAGAGGAACTCTCAGTCTAGGGCAAGTGATGCTCTGTATTCTTGGTGCTTGGGGGGGGGAGCAACAGTGGGAGGGCTTCTAGTGTCCTGGCCCCACTGCTGGACCTCCTGATGGCCCCTGGTATTTTTGGCCACTGTGTGACCAAGTGTTGGACTGGATGGGCCCTTGGCCTGATCCAACATTGGCTTCTCTTATGTTCTTACCACAAATCAGAGTCAAGGCAAATTAATCTTAACAACCCCTAGTTTGAACGCCCGGGCTTGGCATCAGTGAACAAACCGCGGTTTGGACTGTCTGCAGTGGGGCACCCCAACTAACTGGATCCTGAGCAAACCAGGGTTTCTTGTGAATGGAGGCAGCGTCTAATGTGGAGGGCAGGTTTTGTTATCCATGTGTTGCATGGCACTTCACTGTTGTGGCACTTCAGTTTCCCCAGGGGAATGAACAGCAGCCATCCAGTGGTGTGTTTGGGCTGCTTACTAATTTTGGGTTTCCTGCTGTTACAACCACTGAGAATCAGGCCACAGGGTAATGCTTGTGCCATCAGGAGGTCCACCAGTGGGGCCAGAACTCCAGAAGCCCTCCCGCTCTCGCCCCACCCCAGCACCAAGAAGACAGAGCATCACTGCCCCTGACATAAGAACATAAGAGAAGCCATGTTGGATCAGGCCAATGGCCCATCCAGTCCGGGTCACTCCAGGTCACACAGAGGCCAAAGCCCAGGGGCCATCAGGAGGTCTACCAGCAGGGCCAGCATCCCACCTCTGAGTAGTGGTGAGAAAGTACCTCTGGGAAGCAAGACCATATACTGCTGTATTCCTTTGCCAATGCGGGTGAAGCACTTCTAGGTATTTTTATCCTGAGCTGCTGTTCTTGACACTTAACCGAAAATGTATTAATTTCTCATGTGATTTATTCCCCCAAGTACCCCAGAACAGAAACAGGCTTAAAGCAGATAGGAATAACTTCCAGATACCAGATCTCCCCCATGTCTCCCCTTAACAAAAGGAGGAAATTTCATTTTTCAAACGTAAAATAAGGAACTCTGTTCTCAATCCAGTTCCACGGACTTGGAAACTACCTGACACCACTGCCCATCTAATCATGACACTTAAATAAATTTGTTAAAAGTAGTTGGTCAGCATCCTGACTTCCAAGCAGCACCGCGGGAAGGAAGCATTTGGCCGGCTGCTCCGGGCGGTGTAGGGTTTCTCCCGATGCACAGGTGACTGCTTGTCTCGCTGGTAGGGAAGACGGTTTATTTTTAATTAAAACTTTGTCCCAGTACCTGGTTGACTAACTCCCGCCAGATTAGCGTTTCAGAAGGACAACGGATTCCTTGTTCGACAAGATGGTAGCCTTGTTCTTTCAATTTGTCTTCCTCTTTGTGCGCAGCTGAGCTCCCCGGTCCTTTGCAACCCAGATTCAGATAGAAGGCCCATTCATCGCCCTTCTTAAGGAACAAAAAGGCCTGGTCCCTGAGAGGCTCGTCTCCTGCATTTGGCGGTGGTCCTGGGCCCAGAAGTGCACTTCGGTGAATTGCCGCCCCTACGGATCCTCACTCCATTGTGTGGCTTGAAAGCGTGGGCAACTTCTGGCTCATTCTAGTGGTGTTGGGTTTTTTTAATACAGGTTTTTTTTCCATACACGTCCATAAGATTCTCCAAGTGGAGATGAGACCCAGCCCTCAGATATGAGCCAGCGTAGTGAAGTGCTTAGAACAGGGGTGGCCAAACTTGCTTCAGGTGAGAGCCACACAGAATAAACGTCATGAACAAATATTACACGTTTTTATTGAAAGATAGGCAGATTTGCTTTTTTAAAAACACTGAATGAGATTGCCAAAAATAAAAAAACAAAAAGGATAAAAACAGATATTGATAATGGTATTTATTTGTCCAATGACATTTATTTGTTTGCTAATGATATTTATGTGTCTAAGAGAGAGAGAGAGAGAGAGAGGTTGAAAGAAAGAATGAGAGAGGTGGAAAGAAAGAGAGAGAAACAAAGAAAGCAAATAGATGGGGAAGGGATGAATGAAGAGAGACAGAAAGAGAGAGAGCAAATAGATGGGGAGCCTCCCAGAAGCCGCACAATATGTGCGATAAGAGCCGCGTGTGGCTCCCAAGCCACAGTTTGGCCACCCCTGGCTTAGTCTGGGCCTGAATTCTAATACTCACTTGGTCAAAAAGCTCAGTGGGTGGCCTTGGGCCAGTCACACGCTCTCAGCCTCACCTACCACACAGGGATGAGAACAAAACCGAGGAGGGGAGAACCATGCCTTCACCTCATTGGAGGGAGGGGAGGGTAAAAACATTGTGTCTGGCTAGGTAGGCTAGGATAAAAGCTTACAGTGTGTGGCTGCACAACATCAAGAAGCCAGACGTCATCAGCCAGCCAACAAGATGCCGTAGGAATACGACTGACCCAGCCCGCAGATGAAGCCCGGCTAGCTGCAATGTGTGTGTAATTAATGCTGTATGTTTGTCTTCCCTATCCCCACAAATATTGTTAGTCCAACTGTCTCAAGAGTAACTGTAAATCACTCTGAGCCCGCAGGTATGTGGGAAAGAGCAATCAATAAATCGAAAGCATTATTATTATTATTATTATTTGTTGGCTAATAAATCCCATAAATATTGGCCTTTACTGCATTTGTGAAACTTGCACGGTGAGGTTTCTGTGATAACCCTCTCCTGAAAGAGTAGCACGTATATCAGGTAAATGTGGCTTTAAAGGAGAGGGGAAAAAGAATTTAACCAGCATGGTAATGTTTGGCAGGAAGCCTGGAAAGTATATTAAACTCCACCCAGAGCATGAGCTAGTGGAAAAAATTAAGTTGCCGTTCATGGGCAGCTTATTCTCTTTGCAGCTCTTGGATTTCCACTCTGTTATAAATATTTACCACTTTTTCTCTTCTCCCTCTCCCCTCCCCACCTTAGCAGTCACTTTACGGGCCTATATTGGCAAGAAACAGAGATCGTGACTATGTATGCATTTAGCTTTTGAGACCACACTGGTGGCGGTGGAATGAGATCTGAATTGGTTGAAGTGGTGGTGTGTGTATGTGTGCATGCTTTGTGCTGTAACGGTGAGGGAGGGAACTGTTGGTCTGCTGCAGTATAGAATGTGCACATGTTCATGTGGAAATCCCATAGCATTATTTAGGCTGAAAGAGATATGAAGCAGACAACTGTTCTTGAGTTAAAAATGTATATACCGTTGATGGGAGAAGTAGAGGGCGATCCCCCCCCCCATACTACGGTCCACTTGGGCTTTTCCAGGGTCCACACCAGTCCTATGGTCTCCAGTGTCGGTATTTCTGAATTCTCAGCGATGCTGGGAGCAGGGGTCTGGGGGAAAGTAGAGCTTTCTCTATGGGATCCAAGACAGTCATGAACAACAACCTATAGTTGGCTAATGGGGCCGCTGTGGCTCAGAGGTTAAGATGCTGAATTGCAGACTGGAAGGTCAGTAGTTCGGCAGTTCGAGACCCGAGTGCCGCATGATGGAGTGAGCTCCCGTCTCTGGTCCCAGCTCCTGCCAACCTAGCAGTTTGAAAGCTGCAGGAATTGGAGTGGGTGGGAAAGAGAGCACTACTTAATATTCTGGGAGAATAAATAAGACTTTGCTTGGTGCTGACAGCAGGCAAGCGGGGGGGGGGGGCTCCTAAGTTTGGTTGCCACAGCTGAGAAGGTCCTGTTTCTCCATACTGCCTGCTTCAGGCCAAGGTGGGGCTTGGCTGACGGTCTAAAGAAGTGGGTAAAAGAGAATCCATGTAGATGCCGAAAACCGAGACACATATGCTAAGGTAGGACAAGGGTGCAGAAATTAGCAGTTCCCTTTTGTATTGGGTGTCCTGGCAATTAGAACACAGGCCTTTACACTATCACATTGCATAAAGATGTCAAATAGTATACATTTGCTTCATGATAAATGCTGCATTTGTGTTAAGGGAGGTTTGGACTTCATAAAGTAAATATTGCGTATATTTCTATTTCCCCCAAAATGTTTGTTTTCCCAGGATTCCCCCCCCCCATGCCTTCAAAATTTCCAGGAAACATTACGTTTCTGCTCCACTCCTGGCCAGACTTTCCTACCCTTCATTGGTTGGTGAAGTGAGGAGGCAGCTGAGCAAGCATCTTGCGATTCCGATCCACGGTGGGCTGAATGTGCCCTGTGGGCCGGACACATGCTGCGTCCCCTTTAGTTTTAGGCGACGGACTCAGAGGTGTCTCCAGCAGAGCCCTTTTCACAAGTGCATGTCTTGCCTTCCCCCCTTCTTAGGTCCCAAGCCTCTGTGAAGATCTTCTGTCTTCAGTTGACCAGCCTTTAAAGATTGCCCGTGACAAGGTGGTGGGGAAGGACTACCTCTTGTGTGACTACAACAGAGATGGAGACTCATACAGGTGAGTGGCTGCCCCTCCGTCTTGCGCAGAACAGGGCTCCTATTTGTGGAATGGATCTTTCCTCGCACAGCCCGGCAGTCAGTTTGCACATTTGGCTTTTGAGCATTTGGTCCCCTAGCTCAGTTTGCAAATGAAGGGTTGGGGGGGGGGGTTATGGGCTTATCAGTGATCATATCTGGGAACTGTCTGCCTTTGGCACCGTTTGGGGAGCCAAAGCCAAGCCCCCCCTTCCCCTCCCCTGATGTAAACCTCCAAGGCCTCTTGACTTTCTCCGCAGGTTCTTATCCTCGCTTTTGATCACTTTTCTTAAATGGAATCCTTATGGGGGGAAGTCGGTGCCAGCAGCTCAGTTAGAAAACCTGTTAGCTTGAAAAAGAAACGGTTCTCTGGTGTAGGGAATAGGGAAGTGGGGAGCCCCGCTCTCGAAACTCAAGCAGGGCCCGTCCATCTGTCTTCCTTCAAAACAGCCTCCCATTTAAGCCCTTAAATGTGTTTTGAGTGCTTGTCTGCTATAAAAACAGTTTCTTGGGGGGGCAATGTTATGAATTTCTCGTGGATAAAATTACTGCTGCAGCTAGCATTCTGTCTCCTTTAAAAAAAGAAGAAGAAGAAGAAACATTGGAGGGGAAGGGCTTGTTCCGCTAGCCAGAACAGCTTTAACTTATGGTTGCGTTGCTCTGAAATTCCATTCCCTGAGCTCTGCAGAAGAGATCTGCTAACCACAATTAAATCAAGCCCACCTTGTTAAAGGGCGTGGGGGGGGGGGTAGAAGAGAACCTTGAACACTCGCTCAGCGGTTACCTGCTCCAGACTCAGATGGCTGTTGTTTAAAGTGGCAGGAAAACCTAAGGTGTACCCCGTAATGGGTTTTTTCCCTAGTCCGCCTTCTTGTATCCTGCCAATGATACCCTTTTCTGGCACAGCAGCCCCTTTCCCATTAAACTAAGAAAGTTTGCTGGCCGAAAGGTAATTCCCACTTGCTGCATTTCTTCCCTCTCTTTCTCCCTCCCTTGCAGATCACCCTGGAGTAACAAGTACGACCCCCCTCTGGAAGACGGTGCCATGCCGTCCGCTCGCCTGCGCAAGCTGGAGGTGGAAGCAAACAATGCCTTTGACCAGTACAGAGACTTGTACGTTGGGACGTGTTCTTGCATGCTCTCTTTGGGGTTTTTTTTGGTGGGGACTGAGGGAGAGCAGGGTGTCTGTTTCTCCTTCAGCCGAGAGAAGACCCATTAACTCTTTCCAGTAGCGTAGAGTCTGCTGTGTTAGTGGGTGAAGACAGACCTCTTCCTCGCTTTTGTCTGTCCCCCCCTTTTTTGTTTCTGCAGCTTGCTTTCAGTAGAAGGATGTGGCTGTATTTTCTCCCTGTCAAAGGAATTGGCTTTCAGTCTTCCTAGTGTAGCACTGTAGCCCCCCCCCCCCCCCCCCCGGGTTATGGAATCGCAGATGGACTTAGCTAAAATTCAAACCAGCCTTAAGCTACAGGAAGCAACCTGCTGCCGCAGGTTTGGAATGTCTTAGAATAACAAGCGTTTACTCTTCAGCAAGCCACGGTCAAAGGCGATTTCCTTGGGTTTCGTCTTCCAGTTTGGCAGCCCAGGTTCAAAGTGTGTGCTTTGTGTGTATGTGTGTGAGGGGGGGAGGTGGAATTGAGTTGTGGGGTTCAGAAGGCTTCCTCCCCCCACACGCAGCCTCCATGTGTCCCGTCTTCTGACACGCATGATTCTCAGTGTGGCAAAGGTGGTTGTTGGGCTGACGGAGCCCCATATGCACGGAAGGGAGGAGGGCACTGTCGACGCACAGCCCACTTAATGAAATCTGCTGCCGTGGGGTCTGGGGATGGCCACTGGCTGCTGTGGGGTTTGAAGGGCACTGGAAGGATTCATGGGGGGGGGGGTGCAGGAGTCGATTAGCCACAGTAGCGAAATGGGACCTCCGCCTTCAGAGGGAGGGTATCGAAGCATATTGGTATGTTCACTTCGGGGAATCAGATGCAGGGGACATAATGGGGTGAGGGCCGTCCCCTTCCTCTCTTGGTTTGGTGTAGTGGTTAAGTGCGCGGACTCTAGTCTGGGAGAACCGGGTTTGATTCCCCACTCCTCCACTTGCAGCTGCTGGATGACCTTGGGCAAGCCATAGTTCTGGCAGAGTTTGTTCTCTCAAGGACAGTTCTCTCAGAGTTCTCCCAGCCCCACCTACCTCACAGGGTGCCTGTTGTGGGGAGGGGAAGGGAAAGAAGTTTGTAAGCCGCTCTGAGACTCCAAGTGAAGGGCAAGGTACAAGTCTAATCTCTTCTCTTCTTTGGTTCCAGTCAGATTCCGGCTGGCTGCTCTTGGGGCTCTCCAGACCCTTTTGGTCTGATCTGACGGCGTTTCTCTTAGGGAGAGAGTCCGTTAATGTTTGCTTGCCCATGACGGCTCAGTGGAACTTCCAGCTTCAGAAGCAGTGTATCTGATCCTGGAGACAAATTGTCCAGGGAGGCTCTTGCCTACTTGTGGGCATATCTGGCTGGCCCCTTTTCGTAACAGGATACCAGGCCTCCGTGGACCTTTGGTCCGATCCACCAAAGCAACTCTTGAGTTAGGAGAAATCGTCCACTCCTGTGAAAGAGGAGTTTGAACTGCTTTACCTTCCTACTACCTGTTTGGTGGCAACTGTATGAGCCATGCACATGTTAAACATTTGGATGCACATAATGCTCAGGCATATCATGCTTGTTTGTGTGTGTGTGTGTGGGGGAGGCTTCACCCATTGGGGCAGAGCTTGGCCTCCCCATTTCTCTATGGCCGAGAGAGCCTCCAGCATCCAGGGCTGCATCTTCTCACGAAACGTGAGTTGCTTTGGGCAGCCAGGCGAACATTTGGACTGTAACAGGCACAGAGGGCGCAATAAGCAAAGGCTCCCATTATTCTGCCTTTGTCCTTGGAATGCAGGCTCCCCTCTCACAGTCTTTAAATAAATGATAAAATACAAGTGACTACATGAGACTTTCTGGCAGGAAGACACACGATAGTCATGTGACAGGAAGGGGGCAGACTTCCGACTTCACTGGTATCAGTTTGAGGGCAGGGGCAGGAAACGTGAGCCAGGCACCAGAAAAGGTAGTGCAGAGTGAACAGACCAAGCTGTGAAGGGATCCGAGCCTCACTGTCCTGTTGCTGGGGTTGGCAGCTTAGGGCTTCTGGTGATTTGGGGGTAGAAACCTCCAGAGGAAGTTTAGGAAACTAGTTAAGGGCCAAAAGTTAACAACATCAATAGCCTGCAGGGGTCATTTCCTGCAGGAGTGCACAGGAGCGGAGCTCCGGCAGTAAGGAGCCCAGGGGGCGGGCACATGCAACAAGCCCTACCCCCTGCTCCCAGCAGCCCTCAGGTCAGAGCAAGAAGCAACCAGGTAAGCTGCAGAGCCCTCCCCCCCCCCGGCCCAAAACAGTCCAATAGCACCTTTAAGACCAAGTTTTATTCAGGTACAAGCTCTCCCTCCTCTGTGAGGACAGATCTGCACGTGTGGTCCCCCCCCCAATAGCTAGCAATCCAAAACAGTCCAGTGGAGCCTGAGCAGTGGGTGTTGCCTTCTGACACACTTCCGGTGATGTCAGGGGGTGTGGCATATGCAAATAAGCTATGCTACTGAGCTCCTGCAAAGTGACAACTGTACAAGAAAGAACCATATATGACCTGACGCGTTTTGGCTCACAAGGGCCTTCTTCAGAGGTCAAATAGTGCAGGATACAACATGCAACAAAGCCCCCGTGACACTTGTAAGGCCGTAAACAATTGGTATAGGACCCAAAATGGAATGCCCCAATCTGGAATTGAGTGACACACGAAAAGATTTTTGTTTGTGGGGCCATCAATGTGTCTGGCCTCGTGTCAGAAGCAGTTACATACACTGGAGGATAAAAATATTGCCAATGTGTACCTTCCAATTTAGGTCCTAAGAGAACAACTAAAATCTCTTTATCAGGGCCAATGTGACATAAATGTATCGTAGTTCTGAGAGATCTCCAGGCCCCCACCTGGAGGTTGGCGACCTCACCCTCTTTTCTTGTCAGGTCCTTCAGAGAAAAATAATGGCAACTCTCTAAATACCAGTTTGGTGTAGTGCTTAGGAGCGCGGACTCTAATCTGGGAGAACTGGGTTTGATTCCCCACTCCTCCACGTGCAGCTCCTGGTGTGACTTTGGGTCAGTCACAAGTTCCGCTCTGAGACGCCTTTGGGTAGTGAAGGGCGGGGGATAAATCCAATCTCTTCTCTTCTCTTGCAACCTGAGGGTCTTTCCCAGTGGACTGAACCCCCCCCACGGGAGGCTCGGGACTCGAGAGCGTAGGGAGGGGTGTTTGGGAGAAGGGAGTTGGCAGTTGGCTCCCACACCGCGACTGTCACGTCCTTCAGCTGAACCTCAAGAGTGGCCCCAGTCAGACCTGAAGAGCAGAACAGCGAGATTTGAGTCCAGCAGCACCCGAGAGACCAACAAGATTTTTTTTGGGGGGGGGGGGATATGAGAGGCCACGCTTCTTTCATCAGGAGGGAGCAGCAGAGAGATATTAGAAGTTCAGTTCTGCAGCTCCCTCTTCCACCCTGTCTCCCCAGCCTTTTTCAGCACAGCAACGCCGCCTTCTGCTGAGGACCCTTTGGACCGCTGCCTTTGCCGGTCTCCTCTCGCGGCGGCTTAATTCTGAGCGGCAACTCGTTTGGGGCCGGGCTGCTTTGCCGTGGGCAGAGTCCGTGGGTCCCCGGCCGCAGGGCTCCTCCCGCGGTCGCGCGGAGCAGGTGCCGCGTGGGTCTGTGTGCGCTCAGCCGCCCGGCAACCGGGATATCTAAACATCCTGCCGCTCAGAGGATGTGTTGTAAGTGGCGCTTGAAAAAGCGTCCCAAAAATAGTTCTGCGGTGTTCTGTTTATGCCAGAGGGGTAACAGGCATGTTACTAAGAGCAACCACAAATGAAAATTTTTAAGATGCACAAGCAGAACGTGTGTTCTGGAGGTCAGGAGAGGGGAGCCGTATGCGGACGGGAACTCCAGATGGCCGGATTTTTGTGTGTGTTCCCTTAAGCTGTTAATCTTGCGGGTTCCGTGGCAGGGCTCCGACACTGGCTCGGTTAGTAGTCAGAGAGGAGCTTCATATATATATATATATATATATTTAACGGCCTTTTCATGCTGTTCTGGGTCTTCTCTGGTGTGCTGCTGGAACACTGGGGGCTGCCTGGGAGAACCTGGCCTCTGCGTTGGTTCTTGAAGCTGGCTGTGCCGGTCACTTAAGGTCAAGATAGGGAGAGCTGCGAACTCTTGATGGCATGAGGAGTGGGCATCCGGATAGCTTCCACACGTGCAGGAGCCTTTGTGAAGGCCTCCGCCCCCTCATATAGCACCTTTAATAAAAACTCTTAGTTCAGGGACCCTATGGGGCTCCCCCGCCACAGTTCGCTTGCAAGGGGGTGAGTGTGTGCTTCGGTGCCCAGGGGCACACAAATCAGACTTGCACTGAGGCTGGTGGGCCATCTCCTCACCTTGAAATTGGGCTGCCCCAAAGACCTGTGGCCATAGAAACAGGGCAAGGTTCCTTCTCGGTTGGCAACGGAGGATCCACATGGTGGCCATGTTTGGCCACGTAGCCTTCAGTTGCTGGCTCCTCCCTTCAGTTCTGTCCCCAGATATTTGGGAATGCGGTTGGAACCGGTGCACTCAGGATACTCCCACGTGGGGACCTAGTGGCAGAATGCAATGGTTTAAAGCTGTTTGCAATGGTTAGGGACGGAAGGCAGATGATCGCCGTGTGATCGCCGGTAAGTACAACCGATTCCAGCCGGCATCTATACCGGCATGAATGCACCCTAACTGTCAGGAAGTTCTTCCTGATGTTTAGCCGAAAGCTGATTTAATGTCAACCCGCTGGTTCTGGTCCGACGTTTTGGGCTTCTTCTGTTGCGCTTTGTTCTGGTGAAGACCTCTGTGGAGCCCTGCAGTCTTGCACTCTCCTTTCTCAGCCTGCGGTGGCCGAAAAAGACACCTCTCTGATCGGTTTTGCCTCTCCTGTCCTTTCTGGGATCCAGTAGGGCAGCCGGTCAGACGTTGAGCATCTCTCCGGATTCTCACCCGGTGGCTCCTTCGTCTACCAACCTCTTTTGG